TTTTTTTTTTTTTTTTTTTTTTTTTTTTTTTTTGTGTACTCCCTGCTAACTGGAAGTCAGCTTGTTACAAATTTTTATTTTTATTTATTTATTTTTTTTTTTTTTCTCTTTGTTCTTTTCCGAGTGGATTAATTAAATACGTATTCTTTGGACTGAATGAAAAGTTTGTAATAATTACATTTCTTGCGTTCGTTTGTTTTTTTTCGTTTCGGAAGCCCGCCTAGCAACCCTGTTAAAACGGCCTACTTGACGACCCCTTTTTTTTTCCCCTGTCTCTGTCCAATTTATTTGTCCGTCCCTTTTTTACGTGCCCTTTTGTACCGATTTGTTTCGTCCGTTTGGCTCATTCATTCGCCGTGTCTATCACCACTCAGCAAATCGCCGTTGCGCCGCGACCTCCATTGTGCTGCGACCTCAATTGCACAGCTTTTGTCTTTGTCCCACTTCGACCCACCCCGCCCCAATTTGTTACCCCCAAAGGAGTGCAGCGTTTCCGTAGGGCACATAACGATGAGGAGAGATAACCCGAGTGTAGAATGGTCAACGTTTGTTCCATGTGTTAATCCCCCCCCTTTGCCATTCCGATCTTGTATCCCCTGTCTCATTTTACAAAACCGTTTCTTTACAATTATGTTTTTCCTCCCCCACCTGACATGCTCACTTGTGTGTTTTTAATTTGATACATTTCTTCAAAGCCTATTTTCCTGCGCACTGATTAATTGTTTTTTTTCTTGGGTGTTGCATCCTTAGCATGGTGCCCCGCCATACCCCCCACATGTGCTACATATTATATGTGTCCTCCGTTTGATCTGTTCACTTCTGCTTTTCCTTTTTTTTTTTTTTTTTACAGTGCAAGTAAGCACACATCTAGTGCCCACTGCATGCCTAAATATAACAGCCAATTTTGTTTTACTCATAAAAAAAAAAAAAAAAAAATTGAATTATCTTCTGATGCATAATGGCCCTTTTGAATGATTCTTCAATTATACGAAACCACCTTTGTCCTGAGCATAGCATTTGTTTTTAAATGAATAAATCTTCTAGCATTGGATAATACTAATGCTGTACGTGGGTGCATGAACTAATCAAGTGGTACCATTGTCACACCTTCCGTTTTGTATTGACAGCAGTTTTGTTTAGCTTTTCCGCGCACGTCCGGGTGTGTATCTACATGTGTGTTATTGCTGCCCCTTCATAAGACGAACGTCGCAAGGGACACATGAGTGAATCTGCATTTGTGTTCATAAACACGTGACTACCTCGCAGGACGTGCGTTTACATGATGTCCCCTTTTTCCTAAAGAGCCCATCTGCCACTTGTCTTTTTATTTTTACACGCCAAGTATAACCACATCGAATTGCTTTTTCACGTTGGCTCGTTTGTTTTGTCCTTAGTTTGGCCCCCGTCCGTTACTTTTGCTTCGTACACATATGCACCGCTTTGTTACATTATTCCGCCCCGTCGGCTGCACAGCTGATCTCGTTTGAACTGTTCCGTTTGTTACCATCCTTTTAGCGTCCTCATCCGGGACCTCATAACCACCGGCAACAGTAACGCCGTGTGGAAGATGCACACACAGTGCCTCAGCAGCAGTGCGTTCATGTGTACATATATATATATATATGTGTTTTTTTTTTTTTTTTGCCCCGTTATGATGACACCATTTGTTTGCAATTCTTTGTGATTCATTGTGCTATCCTTTTTCGTACGAGACACATCCTCCCCCTGAAGTACTACCTGTTAAATCGGTAGCGAAGGAGTTATTCTGCCATTGTATGTCTACCCGTTAAACCAAACTTTGATTTGTTGTCTCCTCTCCGTTCACACACATAGCTAAATATTTTTTTATTTGAATTTCACGTTTGCTTAACCACCTCTGATGGTTACACCATTTGGGTACTAATTTTTTTTTTTTTTTTTTTTTTTTTTTTTTTTTTCCCCCCTTTTTTCCTTTTTTTTTTTTTTTTTTTTTTTTTTTTTTTGTATCACTCCCCATTTGGAGAGTTGTTCCGTTTATGCCAACTTGATATTCACCTCGACTAACCTGTTCGCGCGTGGCAGTAGACACGCACACATAGGAACAAGTTCCCTCCACATAAAAAAAAAAAAAAAAAAAAAAAAAGATACCAACAGGTACCCCATTGAACACCCCTCCAGCGTAATTAAATAAAAACCGCCAAATAAAACCGCAGAGGACGCTTCCCGAAAAGACGGCTGCACGATATTACCTTACTACAGCAGGGAAAGAAATACACTAATAACAAAAAAGGAAGAAGGTGCAAAATGGCGAGTTACGAGAGTGGAGAGACGAACATAAGTCAGCAACCCCAAGGAAGTGTCCCCGCCATGCGAAGCGTCCCCCTGGTGCAAGGACAGAACAAACACCACCCCATTAACGGCACAGCGTACCAATGCACCCGAGGAAGAAACACAAACGATGAAAGGAAAACTTTGAACCCCATGAGCAAAACGAAGAATTCAAATGTTCCCTTCACCAAGTTGCATGGAAACAACAAGTATCTAGGGGAGGGCAAGAACTACTACCTACCTGTTAACCAACCAGTGAGTGGACTGGTCAGTGCACCGGGTAGCGCACTGGTTAGTGTACCCGTTAACGCACCGTTGAGTAACCACCCCAATCGGATCCAAATGAACAACATCACTTATTCGTTTAATGACAATGGAGAGTCGAGCCACATGAACAAGTTCGGTTATCACAAAGAGGGGAGGAGTAAAAACTGCATGCTGGTCCCAGATCCGATGATTCGCAATGCAGCTAGAAGGTCTTCTTATGGAGAGTACAAAATGAGTGGCCCCAAATTGACTAGCACCTATCGCAACGACAGAAATAGCTATGCTGTGCTGAATAGAGCGAACGAATTGAATTTCCCTCCAGGGTGTAATAATAATGGTATGGCCCCTTCCGAAATGATGCAGGAGAGTCCTCCTGGGTGTGGGGAGGAAAGGACTCTCGAGCAGAAGGTAGACATGTCGAATGAAGAAAAAAAGAACACAGAAGAAATGCGCATTCATAATATTATCACAAAGGAAGGCAAGCACAACCAAATTTTTAATCCAACAGTGGGGGGTAAACAAGGGGGAGGAGAGATGCAGGGGTTGACACAGCGCACAGAACAGATTCTGCTCAATCCTGGTGAAGATATGCAAAAGGGAAAAGTAGATCCCATGTTTGACCACAGCATCAAGCAGGTGGAAATGGGATCATTCGCTTTGCAGAACAACAGCAATTGTAACGCTCATCGCGATGATTATAACCAAGTGAAATATTTGGCCAAGCCCATGACGCGAGAAAAAGGAAATGTTGATTTTACCACCAAAAGGAAAAACTACAGGAATGGAGCTTATAACAATTTCTTCACCCCTTATGAGCACAGACTAAATCTGTTGAAGAAGAAAGAGCCCCCCCCCTCCTCCGCTCCCTTTGTATGTTTCAACACAAATTCGAAAGGAGACCAATCCTTCGAGAAGCCACTTTATGAAAAGCGTAGACATGCAGTACCTCGTGGAAGTGGCCTACTACCCCAGGTTCATATTCCCCCACCACACATTAATGATGTCGCACCAGTGGTGAAATATTCAGGGGAGACACTCTACAATGGAGTGACCCCTGTAGGAACTTCTCTCCTTTGCACCCCCACATTGTGCGCGTCTCCTCCACGACCAGAAGGACGTACCTCCTTAATAGACTTAACAGCGAAGCGGCCAAGGGGCAGCATCTTAAATTCACTAGCCAAAGACAAAGAAGGAAGAAGACGGTTCTTACCCAAATCGAACGAATCTGTTGACAGCAACTGCTTCATGTATAACTCAAGCGAGTTGGGTAGTCTATCCCCTGACATGAGGACATCTGCCAGTTTGAATGTATGCCTTAGTCTTGGTTTGAACAAGAAAAGTAAAAAGGGGCTGGGGTTGGAGGGGCTTCCCAAAAACACCAACAGTATGAACCATAAGGTTCATCCAATGACAGATCTTTTTCTTTCGAACAATGCTAAAGGAGGAAGCAGTAGGAAGAAAAAAGGAAGTAAAAGCTTCAGTTTAAATTTGTGTAGTGCTTGTTTAAATATTGACGATGGTATATATTTGAAGCAGATTAACGAAATTATTAACAGAAATATCATTTTTTCAGAGGACGATTTGCTAATCATGGACCAGTTGACCAAATCTAGCATTCACAACTCCTACATCTTTAACAATGTAAAAAGTGTTAGTAGCTTCCGCAAAGGAGGACTCAACTGGATCGTTTATAACAACCATGGTGGGTACCCTTGTACAAAAACTCAAAAGCAGGTCACGATCAACTATGATAAGGCAGATACAGAGCAGCAGTGTGCACATATAGGAGGAGGGGGAGGAGGAGGAGATATAAATGATGGTGAAGGTACCTACGTAGATTTGATTAAGAAAAATATTTTCTGTACAAACAAGTACATTATAGAACCCACTATTGAAAATACTTGGCTGAAGAAAGTTTTGCTTATCATTAAGAAAGAGGAACTGGATCTAGATGCATTTTTTTTTAAGCTCAAATATTATTTTTACAAATCAGTCTTATTTTTATACCAAGAGGGAATCAAATCCTACTTAGGAGATGTGGCAAATCAAATGAAGATTTATATAAACTACAACTTCTGGTCTGCATCTGAGGTGGCTTTTATCCTGAGACAACTCACTAACCTCTGTAGCATACAAATTGAAGTCAGAGTAAAGGGAGAAATCGGGTGCGTCATTTATTTGAACAATGAACCTAAAGGTTTCCAAGGCTTTGTAGACAGTCACAACTTAAATGATACCTTTACCAAAAAGGACTGGATCTTGTTGCACAGATTTGCCATTAAAATGATGCAGTACAAGAAGGAGGGTAGTGAGGACCAGGGAAGGAGTGAGCCCCCTTCGCCAGCTCTTCTCGCCACTGCGACGGAGCAAATGAACGAGGTGGAAGAAGAACAGGGGAAGGAGCGACATAGCGAAAGTGGTAATATTCGAAGCAATGACACGTGTGCCCCTCCCTGCGAAGATGAGAACGATGCCAATTTGTCGGACGAACTGCTGAGTAGAGGTGACGGGGACAGGGACAGGGACAGGAACAGTTCTTCGCTTAACGTGGACTCCCCTTTTGGAGAGGACAAGTTGGTTAGCGGCGGGTATATGGAGCTGCTCTCTCCCGCTAGTGTGACCCTCGCCGCGGCGCTCAGCAAGACAATTAGGGAAGAAGAGGTTAAGGAAGAGCCTACTGAAGCGATTACCAACGTGGGTAGCATCTCAAGTGGTAACCCTGCGCAAGGCAGAAGCGAAGACGGCAGTGAGTGCATCTTCTGCTCACCCACCACCAAGAAACTCAAGTCCTACATGTTCAACGGAGGAAGGTACGCTTTCGCAGCCAAACTAAAACACGAAATTAAGCACTTCAAGTCCAAGCGATTAGGAGATATTATCCACCTAGTACAGCTAGCTATACACAAAGGAATATTTGTTTATTCACAAAGGATTCTCCTCCCTGTCTCGGCATGCGAAAAAAGTGCAGAAGATTTGTATCCTAAAATAAAAAACTTTAACTATGAGCTTTGTGAAACGTTAGGAGAGGTCATGAGAATTATTTCCCTCCTGGTCGATCACAAACCCAATGGACTTGTCCTGGCACAACTAAAGCAACAATTCATTCTTCAATTCAAGAAAGAGCTAAACAGCCTGCACTTCGGTTATAAGAAGCTTCAAAATCTCCTCCTAGCAGAACCCTTTAGTAAGCACTACAAATTATACATCCCCAATTGTAATATGCACCGCACGCACATTCAGCATAAGAAGTACAGGATCCCTGACAATTGCAGAATTTTCCAAAAGGAGAGCATCAACGTGGGGTCCTTTCTTGAGTTCATCGACCATCACGAGTTTGGTACCTACAACGTGGAGGAGGAGGATGGCGACATGGACGGTGATAACGACGGCGAAGACGAGGAACAGGCAGAAGAAATAACGCCTTTGGAGGAACATACGAATGTAACAACTCAGATGAGCGCTCCACTACCCACACGAAACCACACAAATGAGCTCCTTAACAGTGAAAAGGCGAGTGCCGCACCAGTCGACACAGAAAGTCAAACAGAACAAAACCAAGACATTCAAATGTATGAAAATTCTCAAGAGAGCCAAGAACACGGGAACACAACAGAGCATGCAATTAGCAAAAGGGGGATACTCTCCAATAAAGAGGACCAGACCTCCTCCCAGCATTGTCGCCCCGTTTGCACCGATGAGGTAGAGGCCTTCAACGTGCCACTCACATGGCAAATGAACAGAGAAACGACTAAACCAAGGGGAACCAAAAAAGGGGACCACCTCAGCTACAAGAATTTGATGAACCTCCCCTTGTTCATTCGAGAAAGTATACAAATGACCCTGGAGAGCCAGGAGGATGATAGGTGTACATATTTGAACATGTCACATGCAGCGCAATTTTTTACAGATCAGGACGAGGGCTCCACATTGGAAGATTCAAATTCAAAACAGAGGAACGACATGTACCTTTCGATGTTGTCACGAATGGCATATGCAGCAGAGGAAGGAAACACAAATAATAAAGGGGAAGAAGCGCCAACAGAAGTTACTAAACACTCGTGCAAGGAGAATGAATGTGGAGGAGGAAGCAACGTACTGAGTATGTTGTGTCGCATGGACCTAGACGCGAAGGATGCACACGCTGAAAAGTTGAGGGGGATAATGGAGATTTTTGCAAGTACAAAACGTCAGCATGAAAGACATCCTACACATGAGAACGAAAATCAACAGGATAACATCTGGCACTACACACCAGTGTGTGATGATACGGAGAAGGATAGCACCGTCGCAGCGACTTCAAAAATGGTAACACTCCCCCCGCTACTCAACATTTTCACCCTAATTAAAAAATACAAAAGGAAAAAAAAAAACTGCCAACTGTCCTTGGAACAAAGAAATAACAACAGCGATATTTGGAGGAGCAAAATTAGCGAGGAGGATGTTCCTCAACAGCATGATGGTGAGGACAAGTCGAATGAAACAAAGATGGTCTCCCTAAATAATGATCCAGGGTTGGGAAGTGGTCCGACAGATGTCTCCTCAGGATCACCAGGAAATAAATTTCTCCGCTTCAAGAAGGATTCTAAATTGTGTAATTCCTCTCGCACTGGGGTAGATATGGAGGGAACAAAAGCTGTTAGACCGTTTGGCAAAAATGGCTTTTACGAGAAGGGGGCTTTCACCAGTGCAGATTATGTTGCCAACACGATGAGAGAAGAAGACAATTCGGGTGAGTCCCATTTTGACCTGAACAAAGTCAGGCAGAATTATTTCCAATATGTGAAAAAGAACCAAGGGGGTGGGAGTCTTTCTCCGAGCTACCATTTGGGCAAAAGAGGGAAAAGCTTTATTAAAGACTCTTCTTCGTCAGTGGCCCACGGAGGGGAAGTCGTTTCTCCCGCGCGTTCCACAATGCAGTCCCCGCTGCTGCCGCCAAACTATCTCCCCCCTTGCGCACCTACTAATGTAAAGCAAAACGGGCAGCACACCCCATACGACACACAACTTGGACGCTTCGACAGAGAGACAAACCAAATGACCGATTGTAAAATTGTTCAAAATAATATCCCTGGCGAATGTTGCAACATTTGGGATGATACTTCCCAGACAGGAAAAAATGCAAAGGGGCAGCTGTACAGGCCACCCCAAGGGGGCGAGGAAAATACCCCCTGTGGAGACTATTGCCAATCGAGTGACCTAAACTTGTGTGAACCGATGCGGTTAGAGGCAGATAATGGGTACACCATAAATGAGAAGACCTCACACGGAGTGCCCCCAATGGGGAGCAGCGTCGACAAGAAGTGTAGTCCACCAGAGGGAACACGTGAAGAGCACCTGTGCATGGGAGGCCAAAACCCGCATTTTTATAATTATAATTTCACCCAGGGGAAGAATACGAACATGCACAGTGGGGAGAACAAACCTTGGGGTACAGAACTGTCGAGCAGCCCAGATAGCAACATGAACGTCAGTAAAAATGCGCAAGCAGATGGGGACACATGCATTTACGCTGCCCCACACAAACTCGCTGAGGGGTTGGTACCTTTTAAAAGCCACGTCGCTAACCAAAGCGGAAAAAGTTTCCAAGGCGAACAAGTGGAAGAAGGACTCTCTGTTGATACGGCCCCCTGGGGAAAAAATGCCGATCTGTTGGGACCTCCACAACGTAGCACGAACAATCTGATCAGCGAACAGGTGCAAAACACAAAAGATAAAAACTCGCAGAATGACTCATTAAAGCATGCCAATGGTAATGTGTATCATGTGGAGGGAGAAAATGGATTCCCAAGTAGTGGTGCCCTCTCGAGTGAGAAAGCACCGGCACACCAGGCAGGAGGCGACATACACGATGCGATCAATTGTACATACTTAAAAAAAACGAACTTCATAAATTGTGACCTAAACAGAGTGGGAGGAAACACAGACAATAATAGTAACTCTACTACCACTACAACTACGACTGTTGCAAATAACATCAACGGGGGGAGCAACAATTCTGGCCACAGCGACTCTGTTGTGGATTACCACAGTGGAGACAGCAACACACAGGAGAGAGACACCACGGATAGAAGTGAAAACGACTGCTATGCTCAGAGCGCGAACCAGGTGGGCCAAGAAAAAAGTGTTGGCGCAAGTGCTGAAGTGAAGACGGATGGGCTGCTTCCTCACCTAAGCGGCCACGTGGAAGAATCAAACAAAGGGTTAAACAAGCAACTCACTTACCGCCTCAACAGTGACGAGGTACAGAATTTAGGGGGAAATAACACAGGAGACACTCCCGCCAATAGTGTTACGCAGAGTGGGTATACCCACCAGTACACTCGGCAGTATGTTCACCAGCAAAACTACCCCCCGAGTGACAAAAAGAGAGGTACATATACGTGCAACGATAAGGAGATCGACCAAGGGAAGAGGCAGTACAACCCCTTCGAAAGCAGGAACTCATTCACGCGTGCCACTGCGTCTTATAGGGGAGGCCCCAACAACCTCCGGGATGGATACAAAAGGGAAAATGACATGAAGAAAAATTTTTTTAAAAAAAACGAAATTGAAAGCAATCCACAAATGACAGACATTTTAAACATCAACAATCATGCCAAAGGAGGAGAAGGCCTCTTTTTCTCCCCCCAAAATGAGGGCAAGAATTTTCGAAACGTTATTACTAACATGAGCACGATAAGACAAGAAAAGTTACAGACCCCAAATGGCAGCAGCTTTCATTATAGAAATGACAAAAACGAACATGCTTTTAAGAGCAGGAGCATACTTAAAAGGAATAAATATGTTGACCCCAATGCGGGGTTCAATCAGGACAGGAAGAAGAATAACCATCAGATTCCTAACCCCGTGGAGAAGGGATACCAACAGAGGGAGAGAGAAGCAGGAACAGAGGCAGAAACGGGAACAGATGGAGAAAGGCAAAGACGCACATCTAACAGCAGATACGCAAAGGTGGACAAAATGGACAACCCTGTGACCTACATGGGAAGAACTCCTGACACGCTGCTCCACAAACACAACGGAGACCCAAAGAATAATTTTCTCCAAAGCAGTTATTTTCCGTACCAACAAAATAAAAAAAACGGATTCATCAAATACGGAGATGTAGAAACGTCCTATGGAAACCACAAGGAGGTGAAGAAACCACAGTTCAGGAAATTTTTCAATTGCGCAGCAGACACGGGAACATCAATGACCAATGAAGGCACTGCCAACTTTGGAAAAATTTGCAAAATTAGGAACATTTATATGGACCAATTTCCCCGAAAATATTTCCCTGGAGAAACAAACAAGTTTTGTAATGCTAATTTAAATTACTCATACCAAAATAAGAGCAACGTCGATTTGCCTCCTGCTTCAAACGAGTACGTGAAGTTTTCGTCCCTGGTCAAGGGGAAGACTAGAATAAATGCGGACCCGAGCTTTGTGGAAAATGGGGCGTTCAAAGTGGGGGTCCCAATGCAGGACCAAGTGAGGGACCAAGCTTCCCTCGGTGAAGTTTAGGGGGAAAGGGGTTGATTACCACGCGCGGTGAGCATGTGACCTCTACCTCTAACTTCGCCGGCGCGGGTGTGCACACCATCTACGCGTTTGTTGTAATTTTTTTTTTTTTTTGTTATCTAATTTTTTTGTTAGTCCGTTTTTTAGTAGCTTTGTTTTTTTTGTTATCCGCCATTTCTTTTAAAGTTTCACACCTTCCTCATCACTGTGCTGCCCCCCCCTTTTTGGTAAATACCTCGAGGGAGGGAACATTTGTTAAATTACGTTTGATTTTTTTTTTTTTTTTTTTTTTTTGTCTGACCCGTTCATACAGCTAGCCAAATATATTGTGCTACGTTGACCATCATTTGGATGCACATCAATTTGTGTGCACGTGTAGAGACGTGCCTAATGGCACTAATCTCTCCATTTCCTTCTTCGTTCTAACTGTGGAACGTTTTTTTTTTTTTTGCTTTTTTTTTGTTTGTACTGCGTAAGCATTAACTGGTCATATCAACATTTGGCGTGCTTCAACTTTTGCACACACGTCCGCAGGTGTGTAACGAATTTGTCAATCCCCATTGCGTATTTGGCACTGATGAAGAAAACGGGGACGTCTTCCCCGCCATAGGCTTTTATGTCCCGGTAGGCTTCCTCCGCCCGCTTGATCTTCTCCGTGAAATGGACATCGCACTTGTTTATGACAACGATGTACGGCTTGTGGAATAGACGCTCGTCCTTGCAGCACAGTTCCTCCCTGAGGTGCGGCGAGGGGAAAGAGGTGAGGAAGTGAAGCGGAGAACTGGTCCACGTGACCAATGCGTGCTGCCCCTCCCCTACTCACCTAATGGCGCGAAACTGGGGCATCAGCTCGCGATGCATGTCCAGGACGATGACGAAGAGGTGGACGAGTTCCAAGTGCTGAGCCACGTTGGAGCTGATGCGGAAGGGGGGGATCTGCTCTGCTATGAGACTTCCATCCGATATGCCCCTTCCATCTTCCGTGCAGTCGCCAGAAAAGTCCGCGACGGACACCTGGAAGTTATCTTTGAAGAAAATCTTTTTCAGCACATACAAGTTATTCACCGTGTGTATTTTCGGTGCGATCAGGGAGAGCAGAGTGGACTTACCCGACCCGGCAAACCCTAAAAAGCAAGTGTCACTAATGCATGAATAAACGATCTTAATGTAAGAAGTAGTCCCTTTTGCTCCTTTCCCATACGTGTAAGTATCTTTCATGTTGTTCCCTTTACCTCCTTCTCCTCCCTTGGAGAGTAGAAGTGAATTATTATTTGGACTTAACATGCCGATGTATATTTCTCTGCCCACTTCTTTGTCCATCCTGATTAGCTGCTTTAAAATGTGCATATTTTTTTTTACATAAACGGGGTCTTCTTTTTTTATCACCTTATACACTTTGTCTTCGTACTGGGACTTGTAAGTGAGTAAATTGTCGTGATGTTCTTTCACATGCGGGGTGGGCAATTGGTTGTTCGTGCCCACCATTAGCACATCCCTTTGTTCATCACCTAAAGGGGTCCCTCGTGTATCGTATCGGTGTCCTCTTAACATGTGCAAAGGTTCATGTGTACACTTCGAGTCTGCCACTCCTCCACATGTACCTTCTTCCTCCTGCCCACGTGGAAACAGTCGATACACATGACACATTTTATTAAAATGTAAAAAAACACTCATTCCATTTTTCCCTCTCAGTTGATTAGCTTTTCCTTTTGATCCATTGGTGGCTGAAATAACACATGGTAACTCTGCTAAATTGTTGACATACACATGTTTGTCTTCACCTCTTCGCTTCCTTTTCGTCGCTAGAGGACCACCCCCTTTAGGGTCCCAATAACATAAGTACACGTTACCACCGTTACCGCCTTTTCCCCCATTTGGTATACCCATCGAACCCAACACCTTCCGTTTAAACTTCTTGAAGCTGATAGCTCCGTCGCCACCTGCTCCACTTTCGCATTTAATAATTCTTTCGCTTTCATAAAAAATGGACGTCTTCCCTCTGGCCACTTTACACACATCACTTTTGACACCCACTATGGGGGCCCCCCTCTGGTTCTGTACCGACGTACATCCTTCATCAGTGGGGAAGGTACTCTCACCATCGTCATGTGGACAGCTCTCATTGAATTTCTTTCCCTTCCCATTCCGCCCAAACAAAGAATGCTCATATATTTTTACACTTTTCTTTGTTACCTTGTCAACAATTTTTATGCTGTAGAGGCGTCTCCCGTTTGTGGGTAGCCATAGTGCCCTCATTGTTTGGGGGTGCCACTTTTTTTTTTTTTTTTTTTTTTTTTTTTTTTTTCTTCTGGCAAGTAGGACTGTGTTGGTTAATTTTTTTCGTCGCATGTGTTATGGCCGCTCCGGAGAAGACGCGTGGGGTTGTGCTACTGCCAGTGGGTAGCAACGACTCCGTTGTTACGACTTGGTAGTTGCAAGGGGATATACTTGCCCTGCTGCCTACCGCGTTACCCGCGTTGCTACCTACACCTTGTTGGGGCCTCGCCCTGCAAAGCCGTAACAAATCCATCACTACGCCAAATGGTCCAGATGGATAGCTGGAAAAAAAAAAAAAAAAAAAATCACCGGGCAAGATGCACACTTGAATGCTCATGTTAAACAGTATGCCGTGATGTGCGGGTGGGGTCAAATTTTTTTTCTGCAGCAAAAGTGGCGAGTGTGGTTAAGCAGCCGTGCACCGCACATAGGGTTATATGCACGCTTGAGTCTCGGGCAGGATTGCTCCATGTGCACATGTTAACAATGTTTTATTTTTACCTCTTCCATTTTTACTCTTACACCCATTCATAACTTATATATTTTCAAATTGGTAATTTTTGTGGGGTCCCACCGTGTGTACTCCCAAATGTGAAACAAAAGCGGGGTTGTGTGGGATGATTGGGAAGTCCACTCTGTATGCCCTTGTCCCCTTCCACACACACCCCTCCAAAAGGGGCTTGTACACGTCAGCATTTCCCCCTGTGAAAGGTGCATTCTCTCCCTAGTTACGCTCGTGCGAGTGCAGCTCGGTTGGTAGGTGAGGCGTAGTAATGACGTCGCAATGACGTAGCGAAGCAACATCGCCACGCGTCGCATCAGCGCATCACCACACGTCGTACGTCATATTGTCACAAATCGCATCACCAAACGCGTACATGAAAAATGCCCTGTGCCTGTTCTACCTGTGGAACTTTCCCCTGGACGGAGGCGACCGGAGACAAACGTTGTACCGCACAAAGGTAAGGAAAGTTAGCAGGGGGCACGAAAACAAACTTCATCATGCCGGGGACAACTACAGCTACCTGGACGAAGGAAGAAATTCAGAATATGAAGAGATTCTCAACGAGATCATTTATGAGTACGAGGAGGAGGAAAGGAAAAAAAAGGAAAACGTAGCAAATGGAAAGGTAGCTACTCAATTACGCGGCGAATTAAGCCCAGGGGAGAGACAACCAGGTGACCACGAGCAGGGAAGCGACCATCAGTTAAGCCCTAGTACACACAAAAAAAGGGAAGACACATGGAGAATCCCCTCCGAGGGAGAAAACCCGCAAAAAAGGAACGCACACGAATCGAACCCCCAGGATGAAATTAAGCGAATAGAAAAATTAAAAAAAAATAATTTCCTAAGCTTGTGCAACATCAATTATGATGTGCTCAGCCTACTGTTGAAGAAGGAATTAAAAGGGGAGGAACAAGATGAAGACGAGCACTACAACAAAGTTAGCTTACTCCTGGAGATTGAGCAGGAAAAACACGAGAACGAGGCAGACGACGGGTACGTTCAGGATGGCCACACTGACCGTCGGACTGACGACCTCTACATTGACGACAGTCTGGGCAGGTACCTAATCAAGCTGGACACGAACTTCATCAATTCCATTTCAGAAAAGGAATTTCACGTCCTGCGCAACACGATGTACAAGCATATTATATACTTAAAATATCGGTACCTGCGAAACTACAAGACGGCAATTCAAGCCCTAAAGCAGAAAAAGGAAACGCGCACAGAGCACATTAACAAGCACGTTTCGGTGGTCTACGAGGAGGGAGAGGATGAAGACCAGGCTAGCGCCGACCCCAACGATGACGCGAGTGACGATACGAACGGTGAATCAATCTGTGAAAGTGCAAAGATAAGCCCCACCGTGCAGCCGAATAACCCACGTAAAGACAACACTACCCGTGTTAGCTTCCTGCAGCCGAGCAGCGACGACCCGGAAAACCTCGAACAGATAGACGCGGAATTGTCCGTGGAGAACATCAAAGAAATAATTGACGATAATCAAAGACTCTCCAAACTGCAAACAAATTTTAACGACTTGAAAAATTTTAATATCTTTAACCTCCTCGACAGGAATACTTTCCTCAACAGTTTACGAGTTAACAATTTCAGTTTTTACAACTACGACTGTCCCTTGCTGTTTAAAACGATGAGGTCGTTTGTGCGACGAATTCGGCAGGGGTGCTTGGGCATGCCTGTCCCCGAAGAGCACACCAACGTGAGCCGCAAAGAGCGCAACGACAGCCCTGGGGATGTTAACCGCGAATACGCGCAAACCTTCGCCGACGACGGCTGCGCCTATGTGTGTGTCCCTAAGCTGAGCGACCGAGGCTTCCTCAAGTACCAAGACAAGTCCATCGTTATTAACGTGTCCACCAAGGGGGACCAGGAAAAGGAGCACCTGTCCCCCGTCAAGGAGCTAAACATCGACACAGACAAAGGCATCCTCATCCTGAGCGCGAACGACAAGCACCTCAACGTTCATGTGAGAAATATTTGTGATAAAATTTCGTACCTAACACAGAGCCTTTCCATATGGCCGCAACTCAACTATGACAGTGAAGAACTGTCCTCAAGAAGTGTCCATATTATAAAAAGGATACTCATGTTGATGATGTTCTACTTTGACATAAAGAACCTGTTCGTGATATGCTTGGATAACACAAGTGCAAAGTTCTTTTATAATTTTCTCAACAGAGAGGAGGACAATTTATTTAAAAATCTGCACACACAAAAACACAATCAACAGGAAGAATACCTATATGTCAACTTAAAGGATGTAAATTTTTCACACATATTTAACAGAAATTTTGTGCCCTTATACGATATGAAGAAATTTTTTAAAAATTATGTGTTTCTTATGAAAAAGGAAGAAAAGTTTTACGACATTTCCTCTTTTAAAAGGTCATGTCTCTTCATATTCTTGGATGAACATACAGATAAACACAATCACGTAATTTCCTCAAATGTACAGCATTTTTTTTACTACAAAAAGTTTTATTACCCATTTATTTACAGTGTTGACAATAAGTATACCATAAACACGTTGCGCAGTTTTAACGAAATACTGCTCTACCTTACCAGCTGGATAGACATTTTCCACACGGGGGAAAATGAAACCAGTGGTGTTGGGGAGGATGATCAAGATGGGCAGGGAGACGATGAGGATGGGGCACCAAATCCGGATGTAGAAGAGATGGATAGGGATGTAGAAAAGGATGAAGAAGAGGAGGAATTTATTCAAAATGTGCAAAATGAACAACAGCAGGATGAAGAAAATGGAGATGAGGATACTTACCAAAAGGATGAAAGAGAGTGCGACGGGGCGTACGGGTCAGAGTCAGATGGGTATGACAATGAAAGGCCCGATCAAAGTGTGGGAGAATAGATCGGAGGAAAACAACAAGTTGGGCAAAATTAGGATTTAAAAAAGTATGAACTGTTCAGATATTTTATTAAAAAAAAAAAAAATAGAAGCAAAATGGCTAGCTAAGTATATGGCTACCTGGCTAGCTACGCAGGACAAAAAAAAAATGCGCTCACAATATGCACAATTCCAAAGCAGCTGTGCAGAACAAAAGTGGGCCCGGCTTAATGTAGACACACACGGAGGGCTACCCCATTTTTTTTTTTTTACGTTAATCTTTTTATAACATCCCATTTTTTTGCATTAAACCCACATTTGGACTTCTTTATTGTAAAAAGAGCAAGACAGGTAAATTCTTTTTTTTTCTTTTGCCACATCGGCAAGGTCAATGGCGTCAATTCCGTAGGTCAGTTCGTTATCATTGTGGATTCCCTTATCAAAAATGAATTCTGTAAAGGGGGAGGGGAGAGGGCACAAGTTTGAGTCAGCGCACGCGATACGCGGCAACTGTGGACACACATACACACACATGAGTGCTTTCTCCGTCTGCGCGTCGTACGCACCGTCGTCGATCTTCTTGAATAACTGGGCCCCGCCGTCGCAGGCCGCAACTAGTAGTTCGTTCACGTCTGTGCCTCTGCAAAGGGGGTGAAGCGTCAAAGTGATGATGTGGTCAAGTGATTAATCTGTTCCATTTCGCAACAGTCGAGCGCCAAAGGCCTCAACACGGCTCTACCGCTCTACGCGTACTTGTACAAAAACTTAAGCCGCCATATGCTGGACTTCACGTCGACTGTTCGAAGGGGGTCTTGCACGTTTCGCGCGTCAAAGATGCGAATCTTGTTGTCGTACCTGCAGGTGGGGGGGAGCTCACAGATAAGGTAAGTACAAAAACACAAGTGCACGCGTGCATTAATATGGCTAACGCAAAGGTCATGCGTGTATCTCCTCAGTCTTCCTACGATGCCGTGTACAGCTCCTGACGGAAGCTATCGAATTTGACCACCGTGACGCCTTGCGAGTGGGACCTACAAAAGGGAGCAGCGAAAAAAAATAAATTTTACCCCCATGAAAATGCACACAGGGACATAGTAAGTCGTTCTGTACAATGAGGAGGCATCCGGGCCTTCTTTTTTTTTTTTTCTCCCCTCCATTTTGATGGGTAACTATGAAGAGTGTGCTACTTTGTATTCCTTGCTGAAGGTGCTGTTGTTGTTCTGAGGTCCCAAATCGCGAAGGAGCAATCGTCAGACCCTGCCATGTGGAGGGAAAAAAAAAAAAAAAAAAACGCCTAGTTACATTACTGGCCAGAGGATTACACTACTAATTGGTTTCTGCACAAAGGAAGACATGTCCAACCTGTTGTCACTACGTTTTCACTTCCGTTAAATGTGCACGTCCACACGTGGTACTCATGGGCCTTCCTGTGAGAGGGGAGGTGGTGGCAGATTTATTTGTTCATCCATTTTTGAAGCGGTGTATTCGCAGCGATGCGTATGGTGTGGCAGATAACCGACGAGTGTTTTGCATTCACTCAAGTCTCACCAACTCTTACCATAATTGGGTGCATTTTCCATCAACGAGGAGGCACACATCCCCATTGCTAAACGTAACGAAGACTTTGCTACAGAGCGAGAGTAACAGGAATAAATGTGAAGGGCAAAGTGTGGCTCTTCCTGTTGAGGCATTTTTCTCCCTCCTCCTTTGGGTCATCCCTTTTTTCTCGCCACGTAGCTATTACTCGGGAGATCCATCAAAGGCATCAAAGGAAAGACCTAAAAAGGGCGTGCATTGTAAAATGTGAATCGTGTGGATCGATCTTGCCTGCAGTAGAGAGTGCCAAATTAATGTTGTGGCTCATTACATCAGTTGGCTTTCTAACCCGAATTGTCTCTTTCATCTGGCGTTGCAAAAAGGAGGTGATGACTTCCGTCCTTCACGTGAGTCAAGTGAAAACCATTAACGCAGGCGCTGCCCAGCAAGAGACTCTGCGAAAAGCCAACATGGGAACAAGTAAAAAAAAAAAAAAATAGGACAAGGCAAATTAGGATGAGTCTTAAATTAAAACCTGTGTAAAGTAAAAGTGCGCTTGGCTGGATTAACACGCTGAAGTGAAGCGAATCTTCAAAGACCTTTGCACTTACGTCGTGGGTGAACAGATAGCTGGACTGGAGAACGCCGCTGCGGAAGTTTATGTCACTGTGGTACTTCAAGATGGGGTTCCTTTAAAAAGGCGCAATGACATGGGGACCAGCTGTGAATGGGTAGCTCTCAGTAGATAAGACGAACGAGCCATGTGCGGAAGACGACATGTCTGCCCATGGTCCCGCTCCAACTCTACACACGCAGACAAAAGGCAGACAAAACGCAGACACCCCCCCTTCATTTTAACACTTTTTGAGTGCTCACATTTCGGATCTGTCTCCATCCTCAGTGGTGTCTTCTTCTAGTCGGTAGAGGTACACCTTTCCCTTTTTTTTCTGTTCCACGTGGTGTGTCTCCACCTCCGCGAGGTCTCCATCATCTTTTCTGTTATCCTGAGCGGGGACCTTCAGCTGGTAGGTCGAAATGGCCGTTAAGCCGAAACTGGGACTGAATTTTTCCCCTTCAAAGTGAGAAAAAAAAAAAAATTGTGTGTAGAGGTATTCCATGCAGAGTTAAACACGGTTCAGTGTATACCCGTTTAAATTTTTTTCTTTTTGCCATTTTATTTATTATTTTTTTTTTTTTCCTCCCTAACAGCTTCCGCTCGGCCAAGTACTACTAGGGAACACGCAGATGTCATCACAACAATACTTCAAATTGTATTTCCTTTTAATCATTTTCTGTGTGTGGGTAGTGTTTGAGGTGGAGAAGGTGAAACAAAAAGAGTTATTTTCTGAATGACCTGCTACTCTCCTTTGGAAGGTGAGGTCCGATCTGGGGAAACTTCACAAGGGATTACACAGTTGTGTGCTGCTTCTACTCCGCTGCAAGTTTGCTTCCTCCATGTGGTGTAACCCCCCGGGGTGGTGGAGCAATTTTTTTTTTTTTTCTTTTTTTTTACAATGGTCCCAGATTCAGCACATGGATGTAAAATAGTGCATTTTTTTTTTTTTTTTTTTTTTTTTTTTTTT